AATGATCATAGAAACAATAATGTGTTTATTTGGACTCTGTGAACAAATGATGTTTGTTTTGATGACTGTTGTTAAACTTTCATCAATAATTTTGAGTCATTTTACTCATTTTTAATATTGATGATAATAAATGACAGCGACGACTTTTATTCTCACTTTTTATTCATTTTACTAACATAAAATCAGAACAGACGTTTCCAAAAACAGTGAGTTTATGTCCAGTGGAGGTAACAAACCCTCGGCGCAGCGGTGATGCTCTGTGGCGTGAGTCGTGACTCGTTTCCCAGATCCTCACCAGACACAGAAATTAGTTTGGCGAGGAAACGTTTCCCCGTGAGAGCCGACTGAAGCTCAGCCAGCGAGGCTCGATGTACGGCAGCGTGGCCCAGCTAAGCCAGCGTTCGGGATACACACTCACAAACACATATACACGTAAAGGGGGAAACAGGGGACTGAGAGACAACAAACAACAGATCGAAGTGAAGGCGCCTGTTTGTGCGTCCTTCAACACATCGTTCACGTCGAGCTTTTTCCTGTTTGTTTGTACAAATATTTACATTTTTTCTTTAATTTTTCCCGCCTGAGTGACCACGCCCAACCAGTCGCACTGAGCCAGCTGTGCTTCCCTCTGTGACATCATTTCAGGTTCAGCCAATCAACAGAGCAGAGCAGCTCCTCTCCGCGTCTCATCAGGCGTCAACGCCGCCGCCACCGGAAACCCAAAACACAGCGGATGGAGAGGGTAAACACACGCACACACACGCACTCTGACATCAGATGGCGTTATTGACAGAGTTCAGACACTTCCTAGTTTTTCCTGTAACAAACGACCTGATTGGTCGGAGGCCATCGGCACCTCCTCAGCTGTGGCGGCGCTGCACAGGAAACAGATGTGAGTTTTCAGGTGACCTGTGGGAGTGTGCAGGGTTCAAAGGTCAGACAGACGGACCGACAATGGTCAGGGTCACTGTGTGGAGGCCTGTGGGGTCTCGTGCGTTGGTTACCATGGTGATAATTGATAATCCTCACAGGTCAGGTGACAAACCAACTTCAGTGAAAGGTTTTTCTACTGAATTCTAATGCAGCGGTTCTACTCACATCTGGTTTTTACCTCCTCATACCTGCGCACGCAGGTGTTTAATGTGGGCGGTCTTTGTGACCAAAGCCGCCTGACCTGAGGTCAGAATCAGTCATGTGACCGGTCCAGGCTGACAGCAGGTGCCACTGATGAGTCGGTCAGCTGACTCAGGACTGCGGACACCCGTGGACTCTGTCAGTGACGTTACCTGATGAACTTCCTGTCTGAGGGGGCCGTCCTTCCTCTACTGTCTGTCCGTCCGTCTGTAACTGTCTCCTCTCTCTGTCCGTCTGTCTGTCAGTCTGTGTCTTTCAGCAGTGTCACTGACTCCACCATGTCGCTCAACATCATCACTGTAACTCTCAACATGGGTGAGTACGCTTCAGTACGGGCGAGCGCTGCTGCCGATCGCGCCGTAGCCCCGCCCTAAACCCTCCCCTGCTTCCTGTTTCTCTGAAACTCCAACTGGACCAAAAGTAACTTGCTGCTTGTTCAGTCAGAGCTGAAAGCATGAGCTGAAAGCACGCTCGTGCAGGAGTAGTCAGAAGGCGCCTCCTGCAGGACATTAGAGAGAGCGCAGGTTTAAGAAGCTAGCGTTATTGTGGCGGTTAGCTCGCAGTGACAGGAA